ACTTAAGGGTAAGGCAATGTCATGAGGACCGTTGATTTGCTGACTAACAAATTATGCTGAACAAATTATTCTCGCCAACTGAACTTTGATATAAAACGTTTATGGATATATATATATATATTTTTAATGAATTCTTTGATATCTAATAAGAAAAAAATAAGAAAAGAGAAACAAAGCAATCATTATGTGATGTTGGATTGGTCAATGAAAAAGTCTTTGTTGTGTAGCTGTTTTTCTTTGTTGCTGCTGACGTAAGCGTTTATGAGGTCAAACTCGTGCGTGAAGAGAACTGATGAGTAGTGAGAGACCTCTTTGAAGATTTTGGACACTCGAATCCAAAAGCATTTAGTAAGTTTATCAAACAACAAAAGCATTAATTTAGAGGAAGATGGTTTCTTTCAATAAATGAGTGAGCATTTAGTTGGAAACACGAGTGTGGTACGGACACGTAAGCATTAATGTGTTTATAGATTTGGTGATGACTTCATTGTCTGACTCTGTCTCCTCTTTTTACAAAGACAAAAGATTTGTTGCTGATTCATCTCTGCCTCTATGTCACACACTGCCTAATTAGTGTATCACACTTGTTGCTTTGCTTAGTTAGTTGCATTTTACTTTTCTTTTGAATCATCGGCCTAATATTGTTTTAGTAGTGAAACATGTAAATGTTGTTTTTTGAACTAATGAATGGAGTTTGCAAGTTATTTTTTTATGAGTATCTTAATTACTTTGATTTGATAAGCATTTGAAAACAGTTCATCGTAAACCCACATTTTTTATTAGATCATTAGGAAAAATTGAACAATAAAATGGCATATGTATAATGTATTAATCGAAAATTAAACAGAAAATAGTATGATGATATTTGTTTTTCACCAAACAACAAAATATCAGAACTACTAATATAAATGAAGATTAATACAAAATTACACGTTGTAGTAAATATTTGCAAAATCGTTATAATCATTATAATGTCTTCCCATCATTCTACTATCAAAATATTCAATATGTACAATGAATCAACACTTCAAACGTTCATGGATCAATTAGACAACTCTCCACTTAAATCAATAATTATATAAGAGCAAGTCCATTAGAGGGTTTTTCACAAAAGTCTCTCACTT